CAGCAGATGGCCCCGCCCCTCCCTGAGCCTGGTTCTGCCGGAGGTTTCTTCCTGTTAAAAGGGAGTTTTTCCTTCCCACTGTCGCCAAAGTGCTCATAGGGGGTCATATGATTGTTGGGTTTTTCTCTGTATCTACTGTACAATTAAAATGTCTTGAGGTGACTGTTGTTGTGATTTGGCGCTATATAAATAAAATTGAATTGAATTGAATTGAGCTGAATGTCTGTTCTGCTACTACTCAAGTTAAAATAGCATATATTCAAGTAGTGGCTGGTGCTTAAAAGCTTTTACATTTTCTGGTCTGAGTCTGAATACCTTGGCTGGCGTACTGGACTTACTTTAGTATTAATGCTTAACCAGACAGTTGAGCTAAAGACAAATATAACAGAGGTGACGCAAACATGCAGCACATGTGACATCCAACATATTCTTGAGTGATATGTGTCGTTATAAAATAGAGCATATAACATACTTTATCAGCTACGTTTGACCTTTCCAGGTTTATTTAGGCATCCCATTTCTCTGACAGAGATATACAGGTGACCCCGATAAAGATTTCTTTTTTTTTCTTTGGCCCATCCCGTCCGGCACAGTAACAATCAGAATTATTGTCTGAAGGCCTAGACAAATGTCCGCCAGATTTATGTTCCCAACTGGATCATTACAACTTTGCCATACTGGTCCACTTGATTGCCATAGTTTGTTTGATCTTTATTATTTTCTTATTTTAGTTCTTATTTTATTTCCGATGCATGCATCGGAGTGTGAAAGTGTATGAATGTCAGACAATAAGCACTAAACTGTTTCGGAAAAGTGCTTGTGTGAATGGGCATGACTGAGTGAGTGAATTAGTTGTATAAAGCGCTTTGAGTGCTCAGATAGAGTAGAAAAGCACTATATAAGAACCAGTCCATTTACCAATTACCATGGTACCATTTACCAAGTCACTTAGATAACCTAAAATGTTATTGTTGGGCTTTTTTCAGTGTTTCATTTGTTCGTGAGTAAATCTGTTTCGCTGAGATTAAAGTTATTAGATTAGATGAAATAAAACTTTATTAATCCCCCGGGTGGGTTCCTCCTTGGTTTTCACACAGCTGGATAAACATCAAACAGAAAACTGATTAAACAGAAGTGTCAGATGGTCGAGAGTTTACACCAGTGTCCTGTTATATTTTAGACAGCAAGGAGCAGATGGTCGAGTTTATTAAACTCCACCGAGACAGCGGCGACGCTAATCAGAAGGCTAGACCGTCCAATTTCACAGCCGCTAACTCCCGGTCTATCCGACATTCTGAGGACCCGGCTCACGAAATCCTCTGGAGGATGCACCTATGAATTTGGACACCCCTAACATATACACAGAAGGGTGACAAGGGAAGTGGAAACACAGGGAACACAGCAGGAACAAATCAGACATGACGAGATAGGGAGGAAGCAAAACTGAACACACCAAACACAGGACGCAAGACTGTCAAAATAAAACAGGAAACACACTGACACACAAAGACATGTGGCTTGACCCTGGGGTTGGGAATAAAACGGACACAGAT